GATTGGATACATAACTTAATTAAGTGTTAATCGTATAGACGTTATATTATAGATTCACATTGTTTTAAATAAATTATAAGCATTCAGAGCTTGTGAAAATAAATTGAAAACAAATTCTAATCATGTAGTTAGTTCTTTTTTTTATAAGCGTTTTTATAAACACTTAAACGGCATCGCAAGTGCTTAAATTAGTAGATAACTTCAAATAACTTAATTCAAACAGGTCCTAAAATCGAACTTTTTTTGTGTTTTTTTGGATAGGATGCCGAAGCATCCTCACCATCAAGCCTACAAGATGAACCATTGGTCAACAATCATCAAAGTAAAGCATCTGTTTATTTAAGCATGCCACTTTCTGCAGAAGGACTTCAACTTCAAAATGACATTATCAACCAGAAAGTTTCCTTTAGTGGAGAAACTGTTATCATCAAAGATAAAAAACCATCGCGAACCGTGAGTTCTCTCCCTCCAAAAACCCCGAAGCAGAAAAGCATGGTTCGCCAAGACGGTTCTAAAACTCAAAAGTCTAAGAGTAATCATCATAATCAACCAACTGGAATCAAAATGTTCAGAGATAAGAGATTTGACTCGTTTAAAACATGGTCTGGTGGACTCGAGAGACAGTTAACGATTCTGCGCGGTAAAGAATCAGGCGGAAGTGCACATGACGGTAACAACTCTACAAGAAGCATTGATAGGGCTTTACCCGCTGATAGGTATTTCGATGCATTGGAAGGTCCCGAATTAGAAACTCTTAAGGTATTTCGATTTGATTAGCTTTAAAATCTTCGTGGATTCAACAACTACGATCCTCTTCAGCGTCTCGTTAATCAAATCTCGTTCGTTGGATTAGTCTTAACTGCTGAAAGACTATCTTTCAACAGTGAGACTAACCTAACATCTGTGAGATTTAGTTGCCGAGACAGAATGAATAGGAGAGGATCCAAATTTGAACATTGAAGATTGTAACATTTTTTGTTTTTCCTTTTCCAACAGTCATCAGAAGAGATAATGCTTCCTCAAGACAGACAATGGCCGTTTCTTCTCCGGTTCCCCATTTCATCGTTCGGTATATGCCTCGGAGTTAGCAGCCAAGCAATTCTCTGGAAAACAATAGCCACATCACCTGCAACTGAATTCCTCTACATAACTCCCAAAATAAACCTAATCTTATGGTGCATATCCACACTACTTATTGCATCCGTTTTCACAGTCTACATTCTCAAACTTGTTCTCTACTTCGAAGCAGTTCGTCGCGAATACTACCATCCGATTCGTGTCAACTTCTTCTTTGCACCATGGATAGCACTCTTATTTTTAGCCCTCGGCGTTCCTCCGCCCGTTGCCCAAAACCTGCATCATTCTCTTTGGTACATTCTAATGGCACCGATATTTTTCCTCGAGCTAAAGATTTACGGACAGTGGATGTCTGGCGGACAAAGGAGGCTCTCGAAAGTGGCAAACCCTTCGAATCATTTATCAATTGCTGGAAACTTTGTTGGAGCGTTACTCGGTGCATCAATGGGATTAGTTGAAGGACCACTTTTCTTCTTCGCCATTGGACTTGCTCATTACATTGTGTTATTTGTGACACTTTATCAAAGACTTCCAACTAATGAGACACTGCCTAAAGAACTTCATCCAGTTTTCTTTCTGTTTGTTGCAGCACCTAGTGTTGCTTCAATGGCTTGGGCTAAGCTGCAAGGTTCTTTCGATTATGGATCAAGAATCGCGTATTTCATCGCCCTCTTCCTTTATTTCTCATTGGTAAATTTTATCCTCACACTTTTCTTTCAAATATACGTAATAAATTATCGACTGAGTAAATCCCGAGTTTAATTATTGAAATACTAATACTAGTATGCATAATAATTTATTGACAATTTTAAATGAAAATTTGACCCACTCGTGGCGTCTTAAGTTTTCAAATTGCCATGTGCAATATTCCATCTTACACGCTATCAAAAACGGTTCTGAATCCACCCTTTAAGAGAAATGAAATCGTCGAATTTAAATTTCATAGATTTATTTGTCTAACTCCTACAATATCAAGGACTAAAATGATCTGTCAAATTGAAATTCTCCGATCACGTTAGGTTTTTCTCCATTTATTAAATTTACTCACTAGTTTCCCCATTTACAGGCTGTTAGGATCAATTTCTTTAGAGGATTCAAGTAAGTTGCGTTACATTAAATCTCCTATATATCTTATATTTTTTAATAATTAATTTCTTTAAAGTATTGAGTTTTTCTTTAATTTTTGATGTTATTTTTGACAGATTCTCTCTTGCATGGTGGGCCTATACTGTTCCAATGACTAGTGCAGCAATTGCAACCATAAGATACTCAAATGAAGTACCAAATATTTTTACTAAATCATTGTGTGTTGCATTGACTCTCGTCTCAATATTCACTGTCATGGCACTTCTTCTATCAACAATGTTGCATGCATTTGTGTTTAGGGATCTTTTCCCTAATGACATTGCTATTGCCATAAGTGATAGAAAGAAAAAGACTCATAAGAATTGGTTTGGTTTTAGATATGGAAGCCAAGACGGTAAAGAGATTGAAACGTACTTGAAGTTTGTCAACACTGATGATAGTAGTGTGGATGGTTCCACTCGGCAACCATCCTCCGGTTGCATGTATCCGAATTCGCCTAGTTATAAATAAGGATATTTGAGTGCAGGGTTTCAAAAAGGGGTCCGTAACAATCTAAGTTAAGACACTAAAATCATTGATGTCAGTGATGGTCTTATTTGAAAAGACGACTGATATTGATGTTTTTTTATGTCTCTTAATTTGATGTTATTAAAGATCGTGATGCGACTGCAACCGCTATCGCTATGTAAAAATTATGATTGATGTAATAATGTTTTATATGGAGAAGCATATGTGAGGAACAAAAGTGGGTTAGATTGTTCCAATGATCATGTGAAGTAGTAAGTTAAATATGGTGTGTAGGATGATTAGAGATTTGTAGAAATAGTTCCACCTCCTATGAAAAATAAGTGAGGTGTTAATTATATATATTAATATAAGTTAATATTCTATAATGATTTTTCTTCTTCCTACTGTGTTTTCTTCATCTACAAAATTAAGTGTGCTAAGATCTTAAGAGAATTAAATTTAGTTCCATTATGTATTTACACTAAGTTTCATAACCACTAGGATATTCACTTTTGTTAGGTAATTGATAATTGCCATTAGCAATTTCACTTCTGCAAAGCCACCTTCTTTTTCAGTTATTTATTAGTCACATACCGAATCTATTGAGGCCCATTTGGGAGATTAAGTGTTAAGGAGTTAATGTTTTTATTGTTGCACTTATATTCAACGGTCAAATAGATATGAAAGTTCAATAATACATATCATAACATATTGATTATTAAAATTCTAAGTGTCATATCAAAATTAAGAATTTAATATTGTAATTTTAAGAATACAAGGGGTCAGGACTGAGGTTACGGCAAGGAGAAGGAAAGCGTTTCAATTGAAATCAAGGGGTCAGGACAAGTTTATGGGATCAAGGAACCAGGATAGATTTATGGGTAGTGGATGGCAAGGACGAGTACAGGCGACGAATTTCAGAAGGCAAAGTCAGAAGTACAACTCTGATAGTTACAAGGCAGTTTGGCCACAATTATGGCAGCATAGAAGTAGTTTTTCACCAAAGACAGCAATATGATCTTTTAAGGAATGACAATTTCACCGGACGATCACGTACACATAAGGTTTCAACTCAGGCAGAGGCTGCTACGTGTTGGAGCAATTACGACAATCGATTTTGTAGGAAGGAGTGGATCCAATTCGGGTATCAATGACATCTTTTTAAGAAAGAACTTGAAGTATGTGGATTTCTGACTGATGTTTTTGTTTCTGGAAATAGAAATTCAAGGGGACAATTGTTTGGATTTGCTCGATTTTCCAATGTGAGGGACATGGAAAAATTAAGCAAAATTTTAAATAATGTTTATTTCAGAGACTATAGAATGTATACAAACGTGGCTCATGATGATATCTTAGAGAAGTTTGATGTGAGAAAACTGAGGGTGAGGGAGGGAGAAAAAATTCAGACTTAGGAGGAAGGAAATTATTTGAGGAGTTTGGGAGAAGGAGGAGGAATGAGTTAGAGAGGGTGAAGGAAGAGGCAATAAGGAAAGAAAAAGAAAAGTAAAAAATTTAAGAGGATAATGATGAGGGCGAGGAAACTACAATGTGGAAGAAAAGAGTGTAGGATAAAAATGTTTATTCAAAGAGGAATGTTAAGGTGATTTCGTACGTAGATATAGTGAATATGATTAGTAAGAAGATAGACAAGATGAGGGAAACGAAGACGAGGTACCGTTGGGTATAAGTTATGAGTCTGTTTCTGAAGTGGTGGCTAGGATTTAGAATGGATTTATAGTTCCAGTCCTTCTACAAACTACATTTGATGTTGGTTTCCTTGATTTTATGGTGGCTTCATTGGGAGGTGGAAAAAATTCTTGTATTTTACAAGCAAGACGGAAGTGGCGTCTGTGTTTAATTAAGCAGTGGATTTGTTTTAGTTTTTTTGTGTATGATTGTCGTGCTTGGTCGAAAGACATAAACATGATTTATGAGAGAGGGACATGGATATGTTGTTATGGTATCCCATTACATGCTTGGAATGAGAGATTCTTTGGGGAGCTAACTGCAGTTAAAGGAAGATTGCTGAAAACCGATGAATGTACAATTAATAAATTAAGTTTGGATTATGCTACTATTCTAGTCACTACAAATTGTCGGGGGAAATAAATGAGGTTGATGATTTTTTGGATTGACTGGAAAAAATATCCAATTCGTTTTGTGGAAGACTTAGAGTTTGGCTTAGAAGATGACACTTGTTTAGTTGAGTATAAGGAGGATAAGCAGTCTCAAGGTACTGACGAGGGTGTGAGTTTGATAACGCACCCTTGATCGATAACATTGTGAGTAAACTTCAAGCACATTGGTCAGCAGGTGAAAATTAAAGGAATATGGAAGAGGATGATCGTCCAATCGGAGGTCTTAATCTTAAAGAAAATTCTGGTTGGGAAGGTCCTTGGAGTTATGACTTTATCAAAAAGAAAGAAACAGAGGATGGAGTAAATTCTAATGTTAAGGAATCTACAAATAGTCTCAGTAAGAGTGAGAAGGGAAAATGTATATGTAAATCTCAGAATAGGAAATGTATATCGTCTGTTATTGATCTAAAAAGAGTGGCTAGATTATCAACTAAAGATAGGTATGAATTAATTCGTTCTCTAAAAGGTGGAAAAGATGGAATCTTTTCTAGAAGCTCATTGGGGTCCTTCTCCAAGGAAAATAAAAAGGTTTCTTTGTCGGTGGATTCTAAGACTTAAAGTTCGAACAAGGATTGAAAAAATTGGATGTTCATGGTAAACCTTAGGAGGTGATTGGCGATGTTTGTGAGGTTGGAAAAGCTATCGAGTTAAAAATTAAGGGATATTGTTCAAATATGTTCGGTGTGTTGCTTAGAGGGGGATGCATTGGGAGTAAGAAAGAAGGAAGAGGTATGAGGGGAAGAGGGAAGGGGAGAGAGCATTTGGGGTTGAAGTTGGTGTTTAGGTTTCGGAGGTCAGTGAAAGAGGTGAGGGAGTGGGTGGATCTAAAGATGCTTGTTTATTTTAATGCGAGAGGGTTGTGAGGGGGGGGGGGGGGGGGGAGAATATGAGAGAGGTTCAAAGATTTATTAAAGAAGAGTGTCCACTAGTGGTTTGCATTCGGGAAATAAAAAATGGCAAGGATTGATGATTTTGTGAATAGGTATTTGTGGGGGTCCCCTGAGGTAACCTACTTTTTTCAGCCTTCTGTAGGGGCCTATGGAGGCCTTATTGCGTTATGAGATACTAACTAGGTGGAGGTTTAAATTTCGATGAGTTTGATATTGCCAATGTTTATGCTCCTTGTGATAGTGGTGGTAAGTTATCTTTATGGAATCGCTTGGGTGTTCTTCTTAATGTTGATGGTGTGATCACTTGGTGTGTTGATGGTGATTGTTGCGGTTAGAATATGATACCAAATTATTAATTAATTTGAATCGCATCTTTAGTTCACAACCGCTCTTTGATTTATCCGAAGGAAAATGTCAAAAGAGGGAAAACCTAATTTTGCATCGTAAAGACAATGCGGGGAGAGATCTAGGTAAGGGGTTGGTTAAGCTTAGGGAAGGTATTAGCACCCTAAACTTCTGTAGTACTCTACATGAACCTTTTGTTTAAATTTACTATTTTTTCTTTATTATTTTCTTTAGGGTATATGTGCTAAGGGTTAGAAAGTGACAGAAAGACCTAAGGGTTAGTCCTAAGTTTACTCGGCAAGATTCGCATCTTGTGCCTACGTATCCTGGATAGGGGATGAAATCAGAGTGATCGTAGTTCCCCTCGAAAGGGAGGTTAGAAACGTCTTGACTGTGGTCAAGGTTTCAAAAGGGGAGTAAGCGTTCATAAGGAAGCGCTTACGTGGAGTTCGGAGACTCCTATTTCTACGTTGAAATTGTTTGAATTGAAATTAGGGTTAACTTAGGTATTCCACGATGGGAAACCCTAAAACAGAGTACGGCGACTCCTTGACCTAATGCTAGGGTAAAGGGCATTTTCTTCCACGGCGGGACACCTAGGCTAATTAGGGTTTTGAAATGTTCAAGGTTTGGGTTATTGACTCGGCGGTCAACGACTATACCTAATCCTTCGGAGGGTTAACGGTAAATGATGCAAAATAAGTTGTTACATGGCAGAATTGAAATACAAAAATATGAAACAGTAAGAAAGAAAAATGCAAAGCGATGATCACTCGCATAAATTACAACCATAAAACGTTGGCGGAATAAAGCGACGATAACCTCGCATAATTACAACAGAAAGGTGAAATATAAAATAAGATCCCAAGTTAGGAAAAGTTTTAAGTTTTTTTTTTTTTAAATTTTAATAAAAGGAGATTTACATTAAGTTTAAATAAAAATTTTGATTCAAGTTAAGCTTTACTAAAAAAAAATTTATTTTAAATTAAGTTTTAATAAAAAATTTAATTTACATTCAATTTAAATAAAAACTTTGATTTGCATTAAGTTTAAATAAAAATTTGATTTGCATTCAATTTTAATAAAAACATTGATTTACATTTAGTTTACATAAAAATTATTAAGAAGAGATATCAAAATGTCAATTATTAGTCATATGGAAATGATGATGAGTTATTATTTTTTGAATTTTTATTTATAAATGAACAATTAATTTTTATTTTTAGAAGAAAGAAAGAGAAAAAGCTAAATTAATTTTAAGAAACAAATATTAGTAATTTACAAAAAAATTTAACTTCCGACTAAAAAAAGTTTTATTATAAGTCATTAATTTAATCAAAGGATTTAATTTTAAGCTATTAAACGAATTTAATTACAAATTACATGAGACTAACTATACACCATAAAAAAATTTGTTAATTAGAATTCAAAAAATATTTTTTTTATTAAGAGCTGCTTAAAAAAATGAATTAACTATTAATTATTTACAAAACATACTAAAACTATAAGTTACTAAAACCGTTTCTAAATTTTAAAACACCTCTGATTACAACTTATTAAAACATGATTATTTATGAAAAACTTTAATTAATTGCAAACTAGAAAAATATAAAATAATAAAAAAAAATAAAAAATGATTGCAGCACCACATAATCGAAAGGAACGGTAATGTTGTGGCAGTTCATTCGGGTTTCATTTCCTTCCCTCTTCTTCTTCTCCAAATACTGCCGTCATGGATGCTCCGCTTGAAGCTTTTTCCTTACGTCTTCCCGCTTGCATGCTCGATGTTCGTCTTTTTTCTGCTTCGGCTTGTTTCACCTAAAAAACAAAGAAAAAAAACCGTCATCGACCAAAGATTGTTCACCTGTAGAGGGTTTGAAGCGACCTTGAGCGATGAGGATGATGATGAGAGCTGAGGAGATGGCCGCCGTAGTAGTGATTTCTGAACTGATGATGGAAGGTACTCCTGCCCCTTCTTCTTTCTACCGCCTGCGGACGGTGGTGATGATGACGCCTTCTTGGCTTTTCTGAACCTTCCCTCCTTTTCTTCAAACCGATCTGGGTTTTGATGGTTTGTTGATGTTGCGGGTTGTTCCGTTTTGTGACCCTTTCCGTATTTTTCTCTGTGATGAAAAGCCCCCCTTTCATTCGATGATGAACATAATATTTATATGAGCTTCATCTGCTATTTTTTTTTTTGGACTTGTTGCGAATTTAGATCTTTCACTTTTTCAGGGATCTCGCGGCTGATTTGTTGCCAGTTTTTACGATGGACCTGTTTTGATGATTTTACTCCCACAGAGGATCTTGCGGATGAACTTGCGCGGATCTAGTTTTGATTAGCCAGATTTTTCGTTATGATTCATTTTTTAGTTTGTTTGATTTTTTTTTTGCAAAGTGGTAGTTGGAACGTTGAGCAATTTGTTGCGTAATTGTTGCGTTGTTGCGTTTGATGTGGTTTGCAGCTTGCGTTTTTTTTGGTTGATCCATGGTTTTTTGGAATTTTCCTGACATATCGTTTAAGGCCTTGTTTGGAAAAGTGGAAAAAAATCACTTTTTGCTAGAAAAATGCTTTTTCCAAAAGCACTTTTCAGAAATCACTTTTTCGCACACCATCACTCTCTCTCTCTCTCTCTCTCTCTCTCTCTCTCTCGGAATGCATTTGAACAACACTATACCGGTCTTGTGCCGGGGTCGAGGAAATAAGTCGGGAGTTGGCGACGGAGTATTCCGTTACCCTTCCGACATACCCGATAATGAATATTTTCTGGGGGTATCGGACGAAAAATTCTAACTGATTAAAATTGCTTATTTGTCACTGATTTTGCAGGTTCGGAGAAGATCTTCGGAAACTCGAAGAAAATCGAAAGTGAAGCTTATTTTAGGATCAATTAGAAATTTAGAAATTTTATGTAATTATTTTTGTAAATTTATTTATTTATTTTTTATATTGTAAAGAAATTATTATTTTTTAAATAAAATTCTTCATTTTTTAGATATTGTAAAAAAATAAAAAATATTATCATTTTTGATATAAAAATAATGAAATGCAACTAATGTTATTTTTTGATATTAAAATGCAATCAAACATAATAACCTTTTTTTTTATATTAAGATCAAATAAAACATAATAAATTTTCTAATGAGATGAAATAAGACACAATAATTTTTAATAATTAAAATGAAATAAAACATAATGAATTTTTTTTTAATAATTAAAATGAATTAAAACATAATAATATTTTTTTGATATAATGAAATGAAATAAAACATCTTTTTATTATTAAAATGAAATGAATCATAATAATATTTTTGATATTAAAATGACATGAAACATAATTTTTTTTATTAAAATGAAATGAAACATGTTAATTTTTTATTAAAATGAAATGAAACTTCATCCGATTACTTCTCGTCTCCGATACAACTGCCGACTAATCCTTCTGGCAACTCAAACGAATAATCTTATCAGAAAAAATCTAACATGTTCGATTAAGCTCAAATGACCACACTTTTTCTGACTAACTTCATCCAAATAAATTGAATTGATTTCATTCATCCGGCTCAAATCCTGCACGATTAAACTCTTCCAATCAACACCCTCGACCTCAATTCACACCAATAAATTCAAATGGTTCAAATTCCCTGACTATAACTCAGATTCATAAATCGACAGCCGACTGCAATTAAATGACTATTTTACCTTTCATAAGTTAACGAACATGCAGCGTGATTTTTCCTGCAGAATCAAACAACTACACAACCTGTTAGTGGTTAACTAAAATGCAATGCAAAACAAAATGGGATGTGAAATGAACCTACTAATCTTAGGGCAAAACTTGAGGTATTACAGTGATGTTAATGTTATTCGATCAATTGAGGAAAGAATGAGTAGGGCAACTGTTGACCGAGTAAAGGATTATACTCATTCTAATCAATTCATTCACACAAATTTTCTGGTTGATTTACCATTGTGTGGGAGAAGATTCACATGGTATAAAGGGTATGGTCTTTCTATGAGTCGTCTCGATGGATTTTTATTATCAGATGCTTTTAAGGGCCAAATTGTGCATATTTTTTTATATTATTTTGTGGCCCTTTCTAATTATTTCTTTGGAATTTTAGTAGTAAATTGTGGCCCTTTCAAATGTTATATGTTTAAGTGTAAATATGCAAGTTTTCGATTATACATGTAAATATCTTGAATCATGATCATTTTGATAGGATTTCGTGCTTGATGTGACACTTGGAGCATTTGGATGATGAAAGGATGTTTTAAAGTGATATTTTTCGGGAAATTGACGGTAACTCGCGCTTAGCGCGTTTTCCAGCATGGGTTCAGCGCGCTTTTGGACAAGAGGCAATAGCTAATGAAGGCTATTGAATTGGCCGCGCTTAGCGTGGTGCCACTTATAGGCACCTTTTGAACTTGTATAAATGGGCACTTGGGAGATATATTGAGAAGAGACACTTGTTTTACACTTTTCAGAATTGTAAGGAGATTTTTAGTGTTTGAAGCATAGAAATTTCAAGAGGAGTAAAAATCAAAACTTTGGAACATCAAACTTCGATATTTCAAATTTGATGCTAGTAAAGTTTTCCTTTTTACATGTTGATCAAGCTATCAT